AGTAATGATCATGTGAAATAGCCATAATTATGAGTAGACTTTTTTCTATTAGGTCCATATTAGGAATTATGAATTTGACATTGGTAAATTTTAAGGAAATGTATAGGAAGAGGATTTTTTTGCTTCAAGTGATTCTCTGAGGTGGTGCACTGAATTAAAAAGGAATATGTTAATTAAAGGACTATATAAATAAAGTTATGTGCAGGAGGTGCTTAATAGACTGCTAGGTCCCTAGCACACATTACATGTCTGCTGTGATTATGGTGCTGGAAGTGTGGTTGTTGGGACAGGGAACCAGGTCCCATGGTGCCACTAAATTAGTATGTGGCAGTGGCCCTTGTTAGTAAAAATAATGGCCTATTGCTGAAGCTCTGTTGGGTGGTAGAGTAATAGAGCTTCATGTAGTCTTTCCCACATTGAGATAAATTTGTAACAAAAATATCTGAATAGGATCATCAGACTTGGAAGGGACTGATTCCTGTCCTTTGTTACTGCAGGCAACCATATTATATCATTTCCATTCATAAATCATGGCTAGCAATAATATACACCCTGACAGCTGCAACAAACTCATAAGTAGCCCTGGAAATCATTCTCCTCAGTAAGTAGTTGGAACAAGCAATTCATATTGACACCTGAGTTAGCTGTAGATGTATTACAGACAAATACAGGCAGTGAACACGTAAAGTCTGCAAGTTGCTATTGGTGTTGTAATCTACAGACTGAACAACATATGTTATAAATCATGCTTCCATTGCAGAGGCTTAACCAAGACAAGCTCAAAACATAAGATATACTGTAAATTACCAAGGTAAAACATATACATTTTTTATGACCCATTCCTAAAGATACAATTTAAGAAATCTCCTCTTGAGATATTATGATATTTTATAGTAATCCAAAAAATCCCTCTGAGAATCTGTCCCTGCTATACTATTTATCAGCAGTGCTTCAAACTAAGAATATATTATAGCAATAACTTCCTTCTTAGATCATCAGAGCTGTGCACACCAGCATATCTTCCACTATTTTAGAAGAGAGAGGAAAGCATAGGCACAGCTCCAAGGAAATAGTTTTCTTGGGTACAGCATTTGATGGTGGTTATTTAAAATTTATCTTTGAAATCTAGGCCATCCACAGAACTGAAAAAGTAATTTCTTATGTTAGCTTTGTACTACACTAAGTGATTAGTTAAGAAGACACTTCAACATTTTTAAGGAAGAATTTCATTAGGTAAAGAAATGCAGTTGTTTACTTCCTTTAGCTAAGTGTCTGTGAAGACTAATTAAATCAAAGTGCACACAATTCCTGCAGCTGTTTCTTACACACAACCCCCCCCCCCCGTGAAAAACCTTTCCTTGGCAGCAGACAAGGAAAAATCCTGGGAGACATTTTGAGGTCCATTGTGTGTAGTAGTGAATTAACCTATCTGCTTAAGTTATTTAAGTTATATTTATGTTATTTGAGGCACATGGTACTTTAATGGATGAGTGCCTCAGTCTCTAGTTAGAGAACCAGTGTCATTCTTAGTTTACAGATAGAGAACTGAAATCTCACAGTTTGAGTGCTTTCACCAAGGTTGCATATGTCTGTGGCAGAGCAGAGAACTGAATGTCACTCCTAGGTTAGTGCCAAGACCATTGGATAATGCTTCCTTTTAGTTTTTTCACTTACATTGATGAATAAAGACTGGAAGGTCTCACTATCTTGGTAGCTTTTTTTTCCTAAACCTTTTTTTTGTTTACAGCTTTTCTCTCTTCCCCCCCCCCCCCCCCCGCCCACCTGAGCCCTTGCTGATCCGTCCTTCTCCTCCTCCGCTCTCTAGGTCCACATCCTTGTGACTCCCCTTGGCCTGCCCCTTGGCTCTGCCTCCCTTCTCCCTCTAAGGACTTTGTCTCCTTCGCTCCATCCATCTTCTTGCCCTCTTCTTCCCTCAGCTGGTATCTCCTGCAAACCCCATCCCTCACTGCCCATCCTTCTGCCCTCCCAGTGTGCCCGTACTTCCCTTCAACAACTGTCCAGGCACCAGAGCCTAGTCCTGGCTTCCCACCTCAACTGTCACCCCCTCCCAGCCCTCCACC